GCAGCGGTTCCGCCGGTCGCGAAGAAGCTCTCCGTCCCGATGACGGAGAGCAGGGGGCGCGGACGGCAAAATCGCGAAATTCTGGTTCGCATTGCGAAATAGTGGCGGCTGTGGTCTGCTGCACCGAGCCTTTGCGGTTTCGAGGTGCCCATGCCCCTGCCTGAGAGCTTTGCCGAGCGCTTGCGTCTGCCGGTGATCGGCGCGCCGCTGTTCCTGATCTCCTCGCCCGAGCTGGTGATCGCCCAGTGCCGGGCCGGCATCGCCGGGACCTTCCCGGCGCTCAACGCCCGCCCGGCCGAGGCCTTGGGGCGCTGGCTGGAGCGGATCGAGACGGCGCTGGACGCCGAGGCGGCGCCCTACGGCGTCAACCTGATCGTGCACCGCTCCAACCCGCGCCTGGAGCAGGACCTGGCGACGGTGGTGGCCCACCGGGTGCCCTTCGTCGTCACCTCCGTGGGCGCGCCCGACGCGGTGGTCGAGCGGGTTCACGCTTACGGCGGCCTGGTGTTCCACGACGTGGTCAACCTGCGCCACGCCCGCCGGGCGATCAAAAGCGGCGTCGACGGCCTGATTCTGGTGGCCAGCGGCGCCGGCGGCCATGCCGGCACGCTCAGCCCCTTCGCCCTGCTGCCCGAGGTGCGCGCCGAATTCGACGGCACCCTGGTGCTCGCCGGCGCGATCGGCTCGGGCCAGGCGGTGCGCGCCGCGCGGGTGCTGGGCGCCGATCTCGCCTACATGGGCACGCGCTTCATCGCCAGCCGCGAGGCCGAGGTCAGCGAGGACTACAAGCGGATGATCGTCGACTCGACGGCGGCCGACATCGTCTACACGCCGGCCTTCACCGGCGTGCACGGCAACTACCTGCGCCCCTCGATCGAGCGTTGCGGGCTCGATCCCGACAACCTGCCGCCGCTCGATCAGGTGGCCGTCGCCGACCACGAGAAGCGGCCCAAGCGCTGGAAGGACATCTGGGGCGCCGGCCAGGGCGTGGGCACGGTCGCCGACGTGCCGGGCGTCGCCGAGCTGGTCGCGCGACTGGCGCGCGAGTACCTGGCGGCCGGCGCGGCCACGGCGGCCGATCCCTTCGACCGGCGCCTGCGCGCGGCCGCCGGCGCGCCGAAGACTCCCACGGCCGCATTGTAGCCGGGGTCAGCGGCCCTCGAAGCGGGGCTTGCGCTTGTCCAGAAAGGCCTGGCGGCCCTCGGCAAAGTCGTCGCTGGCGAAGAGCACGGCCTGGGCCTCGGCCTCGCTGTCGAGCAGCGCGTCGAGGGACTGCGGCGCGCGCGCCAGCAGGGCCTTGACGCCGGCGATCGCCAGCGGCGCGCCCCGGGCCAGCCGCTCGGCCGCGGCCAGCGCCTCCTCCAGCACCGCGCCGGGCGT